TATTCCAGCTCTGATGGTATTCGACCMAGTAGCCACCGGGGGAGGCAGAGGAAGGGGAAGACCTCCACTCCGTTGGAAAGACCAGGTGGAGAGTGTCTGCGCTAATAAATAAAGAAGAAGAAGTGTGAGATTGGAACATTATGTTATGACATATCTTCTTTCTCTTTGGCACTAGAACTGCGGGTCTGTCTGGATCGAGAACACAAAACTTCACCAGTTGCTTCTATCCTTTACGAGGTCACGTCAGTTGTATATCGTAACATCAGWCAGGTCGCTATGTACTTGGTTCTTCCATTAGATGAATGAGCGCYCTTGCTTCCATTGTCCATGTAACCGTAGAGCTCATACAGTTCGTAGTTCCATCTCCTTCGATATCGATTRCGCGGACGACTCCAAAGATCATGCGAAGCACATGTCTCTCGAATGCTTCAAAAATTTCCTCAGCTCGAGTCCTAATCGTTCATGTTTCTGCGACATACAATAGAACGGGAATAATGAGAAACTTATAGCGCGTAGATAGATAGATATATTTTTATTTCATGTACAATAAATATACAGGAAACAAGAAAAAAAAAACAGCACTAGCTCGAGGCCATCAGCTGGCGTGAAACTTTTAGCGCGTAATTTTTGTTCATCGAGAGCATATTCCTTCTCAATAGCCTACCGATCCCAAAAAAATGGCACCTGTTGACAAGAGATATTCTGTGAAAGTCATTTTATCAAGGGTTGTTGAGTGGTGATTATTCACTGGCTAACAAAAGTCTGATTCAAAGTGCTGATTTGGGATCTAACCGAWAGCAATCATTAGCCTTATCCGTTCGCCTTATATCACATAACCTTTWCGGGTTCTTCGCGGACTAATACAACTATAATACAATATATAATAAGAACGTAGCCATTTGCTAGACTTTACGCTGTTTCCAAGTTCGGATGCCACCGTAAACTAGGTGCCAAACTTTGTAGTATAATATCTTTCCAACCATCGCTATCAAAAATTTTGTACTCGTCCTCGTCCTCGTCGAGTAAAGAAACATCCCAACATCTTTCCACTAACATTCTACTCTGAGTTACTTCTTCTTTTGGGATCTAACCGAGCCATTCGCTAGACCTTAACTAAGTTACCATCATTTCAACCGTCGATATACAGAGTTAAGTACTCGTCCCTTCTCGTCGAGTAAAGAAGAATCCCTTAACATCCCAACTTCTCTCTTCTAACATTCTACTCTGATTTACWTCTACTCACTTTGGGATCTAACCGAATGCAGCCATTCGCTGGTCTTCCGAGTTCGGATGCCACCGTAAACAAACTATTGAACTCTTTATCATCATTTCGAGGAAATAAACATCCTGTACCATCCCTACTTCTTTCTTCTAACATCCCAATCATATTCTCTTCTTTGCTTTTTCTTACTTCTCACCCCCCAACCCTTCGCGATTCCATTAATACAATCAACGCGTTCTTCGGCAGTTATGACAATATTTACTTTAATTTATTACATCGTGAAATATCAAAGCGATTTCCAACAACACAACAGCTAGTGACAAAAATCACACGAGACAACGATTTACTTTCTACTAAAACGTAGAAAAGGGAAAATGGTGAACCGCAGAATGTAACTGAGAGTATAGCACCATAAACGCAGAGCTTTTCACATGAATGACTGTGTGGAGTCAACCTTAGCTTTTTTCTTATTTTTTTTTTTTTTTTGTATTTATTTTGCTACAATTTCTTGCACGTAGCGGCGTGTGGAGCAATCCCAACCACACCCACCACAAAATGAACTCAAAGATAATTCCTCCRGGGTTATTGGTGCGACGCAGTTACACTTACTGCTTTGTTTTTGTTGTTGGACTACAATAAGCATACACACACATATACATAGAGACAGGCAAATTTTACTTTGATCGCTCTATCACGTCCGTCTGTTCGAACATTCGCCTGTCTGCTGGGGTTTATTGACTTTTCGCTTGACAAGCGCCAGCGATATGCCAATGATATGCAATTATAGCCTCGCTCCGAGTCGCCTATACAGTTACATACAGCAACACTCTTATCATCTAAATGTGTGTGCGTGTGTTTGAGTGCGAAAGTTCTTTACTTGCTCTGCGCAAACGAACGATTCGCTTTTGGAGCAGCTGTTTGCTAATATTATAAATGTTATCTCATTTCACTTTTGCACTTTYCGACTGGCTGTCGGTCTGCTTGACTGCTTGTTGGCGTGGCATTTCACTTTTAGTGGCAGTTGGTAGCAGCAAGACTCAGAGAAAATCAGAAAAGGATGCTTTTGCAAGATTAAAAAATTTATAAAAACAAGAAAAAAAAGGTTAATTTTCGTTGCAACGAAGCTGTAATATCCTACACTGGCGCATTTTTTATAGCATAAAAGCGTATAAAAAGTTGTTTATCTTGATTTTGAGCGTGTAGTTTGTATGACAGCTACATATATGCTGTAGCGGTTCAAACTCAGCAATTTCTTCGGAGATTGTGGCGATGCTTTGAGCAATAACCCATAGCAAGTTTTATGAAGATATCTTGTGAAATGTAAAAGTATTCCATACAAGCACTTAAGTCCGATCAAACAGTTTGTAGGGCAGCTATATACTATAATGATCCGATATCGGCGGCTGCGACAAATGAACAGCTTCTTGGTGAGAAAGAACGTTTGCAAAATTTCAGCGCGATATCTCAAAAACTGTGTCACGACTTCAGTCAAGCAGGGTATAAAAATTATATAAAAAGGGTAGAGGTAACTACAAAATATTGGGCATAAGCCCGAAGCTCTTTCTAAACCAAAATGCAAAAATAGTAATGATATGCACCAAAAGTTCTCCGAAGTAAATCCAAATTAAAATTTCGTAAAAAAAAAAAATTTTTTATTTATTATATATTATATTTGCTTATCCCAATCGTATACGAGAAAAAGAAAAAAGAAAGAAATCATCAAATAAACATACTCATATTTGTGCTATTTGTGATTGTAGTTGTTGCTTTGACCCATAACACATATTTGATTTTCAATCCCCAGGCGCTGATTTCATAAGTTTCTGAACTCAAAGTTTACATAAATTATGAAAAYATAATGATTGTAGGTAAGTGGGGGCGTATAAGTAATAGAAAGGTATGTACATATAGTAGTGAAATAAAGAGCTGCGACACAAAACGAAGACTGCGAAGTTAAAGTTTTTTTTTTTTTTTGGTAACATAGAAACTTTTCAGTTCAATTTTAGTAAATTCCTAAATCATTTAGCAGAATTTCTCAAATTTGCTAAAGCTGGTTAAGCTCTTAACTAGAGTAAATTTTCGAGCTCAAAGAGAACTGAACTGAACTGCAACTGTTAAATTAGATCTCCGTTGACTCTAGATATATACTACCAGTGGTACRGTGCGGAGTCGTCATTTTATTCCAGATCAAGAGCTCTCTATACATTCTATGTTACCTCGTTAATATATTAAAAACATTATATGATAAATACGTGCCGGTTTAMACTAAGATTTGAGGGTCGACCGCAAATTATCAACAGATTTTGAGATCAATATTTCAAAGAATGTGAGTAAAAAAGTTTATGAAGGAGCACAAAACAGCTACTTCTAGATCGCATAGATATCTGCACACGCAGGCACAAGTTTCTTGGATCTATAAGTCCAATAAGGAAGCAGATTGACTCAATAGCGTCCAGAAGAATTCGTTAGATAAAAAGAAGAGCACAATACTATAGAGCTCTTGTCACAGTACAAACCTCAATTTTCTCTATCCTAAGGGCATTATGAGTCTTTTGAGAGATTTTAGGTTTTAGCAAACTCGCTCCACTACTTAAGATACATCTGTTCAACTTCTACAGCTTGCACATTCGGTGAGAAATATTTACAGAAGCGGCGTTCAAGGAAATTGTTTCATTGTTGTCTCAGAAACCATATCATAGACCAGTTAACTCAATTATAAAATTGGAACAAAGGCTTTATGAAGACGCCGGAGAACCCGAAGCAACCATTTTTCAATTGCTCAGATATCTGCAGACGCTGGAACAAGGCCTGTGATCTATATGTCGAAAAAGGAAATGCATTGACTCAATTAACACAGCAAAAGCTAGGAATTTAACAGAGTGCTGAACCTTTGTTCGTCCGTGAGATAGAGAGGAAAGCACAATAGACCTCCGGTCATAGGAGAAACATCAATATATTTAATTCTAAGTGCTGCTTATGAAGTTTTTAAGTTTTAGCAAGCCCGCTYAACTTTTTTCAGTACAACTCTTCAACGTTTAATTTTGTCAAAAATAATTTTGTTGTTTGCTATTTTGTCAAAAATAATTTCAAACGCTTGTAATCTCAAGAAAGTTGCTATAACAGCGCTCACCTCAATTATTTCAATAAGWATTTGAAACTCTCTCAAGCATTGGCACCACACTTTCTACTTCCCTCGTTTTTCAGCTGAATTACCACCAATAAAACTGTCTTTATCATTTATTAGGCTTCCTTTCAATCTTCATTACAAGCAATTGAAGCACACTACCAATGAGCAGCACTTTACAAGTAAACACTTTCCTCTGCCTTTCGTAGGGCATACGCACTCGAACCCCWCGAAGACACATTTGCAAACAAAACAATGAGAGACTGCTTGCTTAACGGTGTGTCAATGACACTTGACAGCGACACGTATTGAACCGTTGACAAATGGCATCGMCAAATAGAAGGCTGGCAGCGCGTGAGCGAAGCTAACTGGATGGAACTTGAAGACTTGCGTWTAAGATGGATAAAACTGAAGGAGTAGTGTGGCAGAAAGTGTCGGTATATGTAGATATGGAATATAGCAAAGGCAAGGTAAGAATGTTGAAGGCATGTGCATATTTTTGTGCGAAATTAAATTTATATTAAAGCTAAAAAGCTTTCTGCAAAAATTCCTAGTTTTCTAATATTTTCACTTTTTGTTTGGAAACAGCACAAGTTTGCAACTTCAAGTACAGTTGATTCTTAACATATATAATCAAAGCCTCTCTTCACTCACCAGTAGTTTGTGTTGTTCCATCACCTCCTCCACCAGCGCCGCCACCACCACTGCTACTACTCTCATTGATGTTTGTCGCTGACAGTGGTGTTGATGTGAGTTGTTGTTGTTGTTGTTGTTTATGTGTGGACATTGTAGTCATATGACAATCGGGTAATGACATTGGACCCGTTGCACTGCTACAGTTGGCTCCATCCACAATATCTAACGGTGGGGAGTTCTCCCGAACACAGGACATTAGACTGGCGGACATGCTGTGGCGTCTGCAAGGAAAGAAGTAGAAAGCATTAGCATAATTATATACATAGATCTAAGCAAATAGATTAAAAATATATATGAAATATATTAGGCTGTCAAAAAAGTCTTGCGGTATTTCTTGCAGTATTTTTATTGAATTTTCAGTTATTCATAAAATTTTGTTGATGACTCATGCTCAGCCTGTCTCTTATACACATCTAGATGTGTATAAGAGACAGGCATTAGCATAATTATATACATAGATCTAAGCAAATAGATTAAAAATATATATGAAATATATTAGGCTGTCAAAAAAGTCTTGCGGTATTTCTTGCAGTATTTTTATTGAATTTTCAGTTATTCATAAAATTTTGTATTAATACGTCAAAAATATAGATTTGAGGCATTGTCAAAGTGTTTGGATCACCAGATCACTATTAAGAAAGCGCAATCTGAAAAATCAAAACATTGTTAGGCGCCAAGGTACAGACAGCAAATGAACTGTTTAGGTTAGTTTAGATTAAGAGGTAGGTCTTCACAGTGCTTTTACTTGGACAGCTGAGAACGTTTCGTTGTGGTATCTAAAAGCTCCAAAATACTGGATCATACGACACTYAGAAATCGACAAAGCGCTTTCGTTTCCGAAGGTAAACAATTGAGGAGACCAGTTTCTGCTAATCACTTAATGCTGAGTAGCTTTATGCTGATGACAGACATTCATTGATTAACTTTGACAGYTAACAAGTTCCTAGCTGGTATTGCCACTCCGCAGACGGAGTAAATGTTCACCTCCCTGAAAGAAGCAGCACTTTATAACAGTCTACCACCACCTTGATAGCAGTCACTTCTRCCTGGAAAACATTACAGTGGTCCGTTAGCCAAAAGCTAATATTGAACGAGAGCGCCTTCAGAAAACTCCGCATCTAACTTTAGCTCCTAGCTTTGACCCATCTCTAAAAAGCTCACTCAGCTTTTTCACTAGCGAGTTCTCCGAGTTCACATGTCCCTCGTCGGYATGTGAGCAGAGAAGCAGCCACCCAAGTGGCCTTTGCAATTTAGTGATCCAAGTTTTCAGCGATGCAGGGATGGGAGAATTACGCTCAGCTCAGCTTAAATGAGCTGCAAAGGACACTTCGCATGAATGCAGTGGAAGGTGAAGAAAATTTCGACGTGTCTATGTTCCGATCGCTTCATATACTCAGCTTYCCTGAGCCTTTGTGCACACTTCGCAGCCATACTGCGGCATTATCCACGGGTGTTTAAAATGAAGTGCTAACCTCACTTAATTTTGAAAGCACGCAACCCAAAACTGCCAACAGTTAGACACTCAGACGTCAGTTTCACCGACACCACTTCACTATATCGTTGCTTCACTGGCTCCGTGTTGCTCATTTCGTAATTATCGCTTTGAATTGAATTGAAATTTTGCACTTTCATCTGCCGGCCACGCCYAGACGCCCGCAAAGAAAAGCAAACATTTATGCGCAATTAATATCGCACACTTGAGAACASCGCKCGCTCTYCGCTTTGTGCGCCCACAAGTTCGCCTTATGCTTATGCGTATTTGRTGCCAACTAARTTATCCTTCAATTAACATTTCCGCTCCGTTGGCATTCGCTGGCTTCGCAAATTGCGAAATACACTTATGTATGTGTGAGGAGCAATTAAAGATTGACACATGACACGACCGAACATCCTTTAATGTCGTATCTAATCGTTGGGTTGAGATGAATTGTAGACGGYTGTAAGGCGAGTTGCGAGCGAAGGTCGCAAAGAGGCCATGAAGGTGAGCCGAGTCGCTGTAGTCTAATGACAAGCGCTTCGAATTACTTTATGCAGAAAAGTTTCAACAGCTTTTGCAGCAGCATTTAATTTCCCTTTGGTGAAAGCACTGTTCGTTGAGATGAGGAACTCATGTGTGTAAAATAAACAYACATATTGACATACAAAGCAGTTGAGTAAACACGGCGCGCTTAGGGGACATTACATTATACATATATGTCAAATAAGTTGATGGTGTTGACAAGTGGTAGATAGTGGAAGGAGTGTGGTGAAATTCGCTGTATTTGGCATGTTGGCTTAATTAGCAGAAGTGAATTAATTCGCGCGTGTAGCGCAAATGCGACCGAAGTACCGCACCAAATCGCAACAAAGCGCGCCGCAACTGAGCGAAAGTCAGCGGGCGGCACAAAGGACATTCCGCTCACACTGTGCAAAYACACTTAGGAGCGTACATATGTCAACATTGGAATTTGTTTGCAGTCGTCTGAAAATGTCAATTTGCAAATGTATAAATTAGTCGCTCAGCGCCGTGTTTGGTGTTGCGTGGTAATGTTGATTGCGGTGTATGAGATGAAACTGATGTCATCTTATGTATTTGACACGAGGCTGACACAAATACCCTACTGTACCATAAATAAATGAGGTTGCTATTAAAGGAATTGAGGGCATATAACTAGATGTGTGATGTGGGTATCATGTACCGTTAACCCACATAAAACGAGTTAAAATCTACCCGTCAGCTTTACGTGACTCGACTTCGAAGACTTAAATTAATCAATAAACGCAAAAGCTTATTCGCAGGGTTATCTTTWCCGRGTATATCCGCTTGAACTCAGACTCTGCAAAAAGTTTGTACAAAATATGCTTCAGAGCACAGCCTTGTTCAGAGTGCTGACTAGCCACTTCGATAGTAGAACATTCTTGAGTTCGCTAACTGCGCTCTAGACTAGTGAGGCGGTGTCTGGACTCCATATCTCTAGCAACAGGTTACTTGATGATTAGACTAGTTTGGATATCTGGCCACAGCGATATTGCTGTAAGGCTAATGAGCTTACTAGGACATGTACTTCAGTCTCAATAACTGCGGAGAGGGGATGGATAGGAGCTCCGTTAGTTTCCTTTGATTTACTACTAGCAGAGGAGCCTCAGACTAGCTCAACAAGCGTTGWTCAACTATAAACCCAAGTTCTGAGTGCCGAAATTTTGGTATCCTGAGCCTGAAATCCTTAAAAATCAATTTAAGGGAATTACTTTTAATTTATTTACTTCTGCTCAAGCTTCATTTTCTTAATCCCGTAATTTCGGGATTATCATTTAAGGATACCGAGCCTGAATTCTTGAAATACAAATTTTAATTTATTTACTTCTGCTTAAGTTTAATTTTCTCAGTCCCGAAAAATCGGGATCCCGAGCCGGAATTCATTAATTTTAATTAATAGCAGTTTTAAAGAATTACTTTTAATTTATTTACTTCTGTTCAAGCTTAATTTTCTTAGTGCCGAAAATTCGGGATTATCATTTCGGAATCCCGACCCCGAATTCATTACATATAAATTTTAAATAATTACTTTTAATTTATTTACTTCTATTCAAGCTTCATTTTCTCAGTCCCGAAAATTCGGGATGATCATTTCGGAATCCCGACCCCGAATTCATTACATATAAATTTTAAAGAATTACTTTTAATTATTTACTTCTATTCAAGCTTCATTTTCT